AATCTCATAATGACATTTTTTTTCATGGGTAATCACTATTTTTRAGAAAACTTTTATAGTTAAAACTGTAACGGTGACATATGCATATAGGTATATATCTTGTAATTGTCATGGATTATAATGATCAATGATAAAACTGAATCCGAACATCAATGTATATTCTATAAGATTTAGTTACATGGTAAATATTAAATTAAAAATAAAATTTTTTTGAATTTGTACATATAATAATATAATTTATCTTTTATTTTTTTTTATTTGGATGTTTGCAAGTACCTAATTTTAGATTATTAAATTAAATAATAAATGTGACCCACAAAAACATTATTGCGACCTACAGTTTGGGAATCCAACGTACAACTTGGTACCTTCAGTATTAAAAAAGGAATATCTGTGAAATATAGACATCCCGTAATCCCCCCAAAGGCTAATAACATTCCACATTAGAAAACAAACAGTCTCGAGAAGCTTTTATGGACGTTATATCCTTCTTCGCCCACAGTTCTTAACAGACCATCACATACTCGATAATTTGAAATGTATTATAATTTATAGTAGGTCATCGTATAAATTATTACACTAAAGGTATTAGGTACATGAGTAGTATATATATMACATTATTGTTGTATTTGAATGAGTTTTCAATTAATATTTAATTTTAGGTCTTTACATTGTACCCACGACGCACCACAATGATTTTTATAGTTTATACAGTGCGCACTTGCAATTCAAACAATGAAGGTTTAATAAGTATAAGTTTATGGTATTTTTATTATTATTTTCGTATAATCGKAATGGATTTGGAACGAAGCAGCGTATATAAAAATATACAACGTATCAACGTAGCAATACGTTTTATAGGTAGGCTCCAACCGGTCAGAACGATTGCACGGAGTAGAATATTATAATAATGTGGGCAAATCATTACGCGGTGATGGAACGGGTCACAATGGTCTTTGTCTTTGTGATTTTATCTTCATGTGCATGTGCACGATATAAAAATTAAAAATATAGGTATATCCAATCTGATTTGGCTGAAACGTCAAGTCATAAACACCTGGCGCGTGTGTTTAAATAATAATATTATCTGCAGATGCATGTGTTTGTCATCGTCGTGTCATACACATGTCAAGTTACAGGGGTGTGCTCACGGAGGTGGTTGACGATCATATCCTTCTTACCCTGAGGATTTTTTCAATTTCTCATAATTAAAATTAATATTCATATTTTGAATATATTTTTTCGGCATGATTTTTAATTTTTCATATCTACAAGTTAAGTTGATTAAGAATAAAGYAGTGGTTCCCATACCTTTTTGAGACTATTACCYATAAGTCAGGTTAGATATTAACAAATRCCACCCGACCCCCAAAAAAAAGTGGATTAAATACCTATACCTATAGCTAGCTAATTAAAGCACTTGCAGGTAAATACAAGGTAGTCTGAGAACAGTCAACTTAACTTGTAGATATTAACAAATACCACCCGACCCCCAAAAAAAAGTGGATTAAATACCTATACCTATAGCTAGCTAATTAAAGCACTTGCAGGTAAATACAAGGTAGTCTGAGAACAGTCAACAATGTATAAAAATCTTTAAAAAATTCGAGAACGCCAATTGTAATTTTGGGTYTGTGTGAGTAAATAGCGAGTTTGTGAAAATGAAAATCGTACACCAGCGATCAGAAAAAGCGACAATTTTTTTTATTATTTAAATAAAAGATTGATTGTACACATTATAAATACAACACTACAGTATCTCTTAAATTTATACTTATCTTYTTTAAGCATAGCTTGTGATGAAGGTAGGGTGTTAATATTACTTATTACTTATTAATAATATACAGATTGCTAATGATAACAGGATAAACACGTTTATAGTAATTACATACAAATCATACAAGTTATACAAGTTAACTGAAATAAAGTTTAGGCTAGAACAAAATATAATAATTAATATTAAGCAATGATATTATAATATATGCTAATGATAACAGGATAAACGTGTTTATCCTGTTATCATTAGCAATCTGTATATTATTAATAAGTAATAAGTAATATTAAGCAATGATATTATAATATAAATKATATASATTTTATTCAATATTTAATATTGACCAATTTTTAATAATATTTTTTGCATACTTAAGTTTTTCGATTATTTTTTTTTTTAATATCTAAATCTAGAGAGTTATAAAATTTCGGACCGAAATAATCCACACATTTTTGACTAAAAGAAGTAAACGTATAGTTAATTTTAGCATCATATGCCCTAATTTCCCTAGTTTGTTTAGATTTATCTATATTATACCAATTTTCCATATTTTTTATTACCCATTGCAATTTTCTTATACAGTGAGCTAATAGGCAAAATGTTGAATACTTTATAATTTTTAGACGTAGATCCTTCTAAACTGTATTTATTTAGACATATTCTAATAATTTTATTTTGTTGYAGTTGTAGTGGTTTAATAGCTTTTTTGGGTAAGATCTCTCCATACTCGTATCATACGAGTCGTATGCCATATTGAAAGACTGCTTGGTATAATGATAAATTGATAAATAAATATTACATACAATGTTAATAGGAAAAATATTTTTAAGCTTACAAAATGTATACACTGATATTCTTAAACGATTAAGTATATTATCTATATGTACACTCYACCTTAAGTTTTCATCATAGGTAATACCCAGGTATCGTGTAAAAGGTACTTTTGAAATTGATTTACAAATATTATTACATTGCTCCTTATCTCTATAATAATGGATGACGATTTAATCGGAAGGTACATTTTCTTTGTTTATAGTAAAAGTCATAAAAACGAGTTTTTTTTAATATTTAATAATAGTTTTTTTGAGCTTAAATGATTGACAATTCTTGTCAATTCATTTTCTGACTTTTGGTATAATCCCAAGTGGGACCAGAAAAAAGCAAACATGTGTCATCTGCATATGTAATTATTTTCCCATCAATTGTTAGATTGCATATACTATTTATGTATAATATAAAAAAGATCGGTCCAAGTACACTGCCCTGAGGTACTCCACATATTATTTCTTTTCCTCATTTAAAACACAATTTATCATAAATATTYGATTACTTTTAAATAAATAACTTGTAAACCATTTTATACTACTGATTTTCATACCAAAACTAGGTAGAATTCTAATTAGTTCCTAATGATTTACCATGTCRAACACTTTAGCAAGATCAAGAGAAATTGCCAAAGTTTTCTTTCCCTTATCTAGTGCATTATAAGTAAAGCTAGTGGCACTATAAAGAGCCTCTTCGGTATACCTATGCCAGGTGGGAAACCMAACTGATTTTTTGATAATAACTTGTTTGCTTCTAAGTAGTTTATTTAGCAGTTTTTTAGATTCATGGACACTTCCCCGTCTACCATTTCCCCGTCCAATACGTTTACCCGTACGACATTTCACCGTCTATATTCTAATCTGTCTCATCCTACTATATGGTGCCTTATTGAGATTCTTAAAAAATAACATCATTTAACTGTAGTTAAAATTAATGAATTTATTGATGGATAGGAACCTCGAGCAAAATAGAAAAAATATCGAGATGTTGCTAGGCGTATAGAAAATATTATGTCTGTATATGATGAACGTGATYTAGATGAGTACTTAATTTGAATCGCTCATAATTTAAAAATACAACATTAAAATATTTTATGGTAATTTTTTGTATTTTTTTGTATCTTTTTAAAATTAATTATATTACACATACTATTAATTATTATATTAACATGATCTAGGTATAGATTGAATATTTCAGAACTAAAAAAACAGAACAATAAAATGCTTGTTTTTTAATTAATTTTATTATTCTTACTAAATATTATAAATATAATATGGACGGGTAAATTTCGTACGGAGAAACATGCAAATGGCAGACTGGGAAGTGACCAGATATTTTTTATAATCTTTCCTAATATTTTTGAAAAATTACATAACAAAGATTGGTCTATAATATTATTAACTTTATGTTTATCTCCATTCTTATATAATGGAATTACTATTGCAGTTTTAAGTTTATCGGATAATATGCTATTGCATATACTTTATTACATACCTATATGTWAGTGGCCTCAAGATACTTTTAGCTATATATTTTAAAAGTTTATTAAAGTCCTATTATACTTGAGAGTTGGGATAAAGGAACGGTGATGGCAGGCGATTGAGTAAGTTGTTTGTTTTGCGGTTGAAGGAGGGGATGCAGGCTTCTTGACAAAAAATTACAAAAATAAACACACATAACATTAGAATTTGTAATTTACAAATTTCTAATGCCCGGTWGAATTAGATTATAATTATTATTAATATTTGAATCAAATAGTGAGCTAATAGCCCCTTAAATATGATTTAAAGGCCCATGGTCGGTTGACGATTAAGTTAACCATTTTTTTGTGCAATATAGCATATGTGTCAATTTTTAGTTTTAGCAAAAATATCTAAAATATAATAATATAAAATAGGTAAGGACGTATATTATGATTCTTGAACTATGTTTTACTTTCTTTAGAATTATTGAAAAACTTCTGTCAGTATTACCGTACAAGTAAAAATACCAATATATAAGAATTATATTTTAGTCGTGGCCCTCTCATCTCTCCCCCATTTGAGCTGCACCTGCTCATCGCCCACTTTGATGACCGGAAAAGCCGGCCGGTAGAAGAAATCCTAAATCTAACTGCGGCGAGTGGTGCTGCTCAAAGTGCGGGTTGGGCCGTCGGTTGCGTCACGCAAAGTCCAAATATGGCGTTTGTATTGCCTCGCGAAATAATAATATACAAACGGAACGGACGGACAGACGGGCGCGCGTAGCGGTGGCGGTGGTGGAGGCGGTGATGATGGAAGCGGTGGCGGTGGCGGCGGTATTCTCATTTCGTATTGTTTTTACTGTTTCTCTTTCCGTCGCGTCGCGCATGCGCCATCGTTGCAACGTCGTCGGCCGACCTACGGGCCTCGGCCGAGGTTAGTTTAAAAGAGCACTCGTCATCGTGTGTGCAGTCCAATACGTGTCCGCAGTCCGAGAGAAAAAAGTACATCCATCGGTCGTATTCCGTTTTTCGCTATTTTTCCCCTCTCATCGTACACCTGTAGATACAAAATTTAAACAACGACCGATCAGCCCCGCCAATTTAATTAACTGTTCACGTTTTTTAACACACAGGTGTATAATAATAGAAATTGTCTAGTAATAGTATAAAATAAAACCGACTAGTGCGACGCGCGTTTACAGATAACACGGTTTGTCTGTCTCAAAACAAAACACCACACGCACACACACACGTAACATAAATCGTCGTGTCAATAACGCATTGTGGTATCATTTGTCGTTGCCAACATCGTCATCACTGTTCAAGTAAAACGCGAAAAATGTTAACAAATCTCGTTTGATATCAACACGAAGGAAAATAACCATTCTTTCGTCGTCGATCTAATCGTCCGGTGAGAATCCGTATCCTGCCCACTGACCACCACAGTCGGTGTCTTTCACACGTCGTCGTTAAACGACAAAATTTCCATGAAAATGACGGAAATGAACGCGGTCAACACGCAGAGCATTGCCGATTATTTGGCGCAATTGCTCAAAGACCGCAAACAAATCACTGCGTTTCCAAACATGTTTATGCACGTTGAACGGCTTATCGACGAAGGTAATTACTTATATCACTATGATTTTTTAGCTTATTATCACGTTAATCTTACTCTACAACCGACCGTTGATTAGTTGGTCGCCTAGTGACCATAATATCGTTTTCTAATAGATTGAATTCGCGTTTAAAACAAATAATTGTTACTTTTCTTTGTCCGCCCATTGGTATTTGGCTCCGCGTGATTAATTATTTATATCTTTGTATTATTTTTATCATCATCAACATAGCCGTCATCCGTTCTCGTCACCGCCTCGTGATAAGAGGTGATCTCAGCTGATTTTTAGTGTCAGTGGCGGCCAGCGCGCGTTTTTAGTTCTCATTTTTGTAGGTCGCGCGTTTTTCGTCGCTACCGCCGTCGCCGCCCGATAAACATGTCGTGTCGTCGYGAGCTCGCTGGCCGGCGGGGGTAGYGGCGAGCATCTCGTTTTTCCCGTTTKGCCCTCCGCGCTATCCCACTCCTCTCTCACACACACACCCACCMGTGTCTATTTTCGTCGTCCACGATTCCTGGTGCTCCGGCTATCCGTCTTGTTCACGACGACCAATGAATAAAATATAATCGTAAAACACCGCGTTCGGGAGATTACTCGCTACCCTGAACTAAGCACCTCCCTCACCGAAAATTGTAATGAAAAAAAAATGCCCGATCTCGTGAGTTAAATAATCGTATGTGTGCGCTTGCGTGTGTGTGTTTACGAGCTAGCTCAAGTGAAGGCCGCACGCGCGCTCAAAGACGTTGCCATTTACGAGCCGCCACCGCCGGTTCGTGTGCGTGTGTGTGTGTTTGTATGTGCGCGCACGGATTTGGTTTCACGACCGGAATGCGGCGGCGGCGRCGGCRKCRKCSGYCGKYGGTGGTGGTGGTACCACACCGCTGGCCCACGTGCTCTACAGGTGCCGCCGCCGAGCGCTGCGCGATCTGTGCACCTGTGTGCAGGGATCGTGACGATGGCCGGGTCGACGAYAGAGCCTCGCCCTGGGTCGGCTCCATCGTACAGTTGCCTGTGTTCGGTGCTGGTCCGTAACTCTTGAATCGCTGTCGTCTGTCCCGGRCCGTCTCTGAAAGGGTTTTCCACACACATGGGAGCGTGTGTTGCGCAACAAGTGGGAATCAAAGCTGCACCCCGCTTCGCCGCGTACACGCTGACTGTAGCCTTAAAATGAGAACGCGCTCGTTTTGTACAATAAAACCGCATTACGTTATTTTACATATTAATATTATTTTTATTATTGTTTTTTGCTGTGCCTCTGGTGTACAGAAAAAAGAACACGATCCACACAAATAGGAAGCGGTGCCATAAATTATAATAGTCGCTTCATTATTATTAATTGTTATAGTTATTTTTTCTGTTCATAATTAATACTATAGTCTTATCCCTAAGCAGCTGAGGGTATGGTTTTCTTTGTCACGTCTGTGATCAGGTCGGYGTCGGCCGTTGGAAAAATAAAACCCCAATTTAGAAATGTTGTCCCCAAGCATTGATCGCTGCAGCGACGGAGTAGTGGAAGTTCAATGTTAAATCGTTCATTAATGCCATCCCATTTATAGGTGGTGCACAATTTTTGTAATTTTTACGAAATAAATCAAAAACTATAAACTTTTTAGTATTCTGTGATCATGGGTTTAAAATTATTAAATTATTTTAACTGCTTGTTTTAAAATACTTTCAGTGCCACTGCGATTGAGAAACGTTAAAACAAACTAAAATTGTATACGCCACCGTACGTCGTCTATGTTTTACAAGACCTGATATAAAAAATAAATAATATRTCCCCCAAGTTTATCTAAACGAATATTTTAAAATCATAAGTTGGAAAGATGTTCATTACCGGGCTTGACCAATGACCACCCTTCAGGTCCTCCACTTGATTTTTCAAAGATGTCCCGAGGATGTCCCTGAAACCGAATATTTTTGTCCAAAATAAATCGTAAATGAGCTTTACGAATAATTACGGTATAAAATGTGTTCTTTTGCTCGTGGTGAATATGATACAATAATTAGGTATGTAAAGCATTATCTGCTATCGAAAAAACAATTTTGTATTACTATTGTACAATCGTCCACAAGAGTATTTCGCGTGTACTTTGTGTTAACTAGTTTAGTACACTCACTGACGACTGGCGATATGTGAATAATGTGTGATTAAGTCTTATCACAAACTTAAATGAAATGTAATTTGATTTCTATTCAGAATATTATATAGGTTAATTTTTATTTTCTTCGTAAATATCTTCGTTAAAAAACACACTCAACTAGTCATCGTAAGCCTACTTAGCAGTTTATAAAATATGGGGTTTATAAATGAAAATAATCAAATCTACGTATTTTATTACCTTTTAGATTCTGAGCGGAGCAAGGAAGGTATTGGATTTTACCATGATGAGTGTATATTTTTATTTTATTTTTATTTTTTGTGTCTCATCACGTTTTGGGGCATTAGATTCGATTTTCGATTTCAGTACCTCGTTAGATCAGAAAGTGAATCTAGTTGGTACTTTCAGGGGTCAAAAGTTCTCAATATTTTTCTAAATAATCGRKATAAACAAACTAAAAATTAAGGGGAAAACGGGAAATTTTACGCACAATTAGTTTCGACAAAATTGACTTTGGTTTATGATGTAACTTTAAAACAAATTACCATAGATATATGAAATTTTCACCGAATGTTTATATAAGTATATTCTATCCACCATGCAATTTTCTAAAAATGTTGACTTAAGTTGAACTATTCATAGGCATATGCAATTTTCGATCATTATTAGTTGTTTTTAAATTAATATTGATAAAATTTATTTTTTCGGTCGAAAATCTTGAAAATTTAATACAAGGTTCCTAACATATTGTTAGTTGTTACAATAGCAGTTGAAAAATAAAAGAAATTCATTGTCACAATTTTTTTTTATAAGCATTCAAAGTTTGAATTTTGACAAAATATGTAAAATCAAAAAAATTCGCAAATTATTTTATGATAGAAATTCATAAAAGTTTTTCTTTTTAAATCTAAGATTTGAAAATTTTTAATAATCTATAATATATCCTTGAGACCTAGACAGATAAATCGTCTTCGCTTAGAATCGTCTTTTGTATACAATGATATAATATCATTTGATTTTAATATAATTTCATCCATTACAGTAGTCAGTAACCCACTTGTAGCCTACTGTACATCCACGACTTACCCGCTTCTTTTTTATTACAGTAGAACCTCTCTAATCCGTCACCTCCGGGACTGGGGGTGTGGTCGGAACGCGAAAAAGGTCGGATTATCAGAATATACAGAACATTTTTATTTATATATTACATACAAGATTACATTAGAAATTTATTATATTTTACAATACTAAAAACTAATTATAGATTTTTGTTTAGCAAATGACATTTTAGACTTAGCTAAGACTAATAAGGGAAATATTAAACTAGCAATTAATTGTATATATCTTTTATAAATTGGAAAATCYAAATTGTACTTTTTAAATTACATACATAGTATTCATATCAATAATACTATGGTCGGATCAACCGGAGCGGCGGATTAGCCGAGGGCGTACGAGAGGGGTTCTACTGTATGTATTTCATATTATTTATTACTATAAATTAATTTTACATTTTTATGCAATGTCTTAAGGCCGTCGTCTCATTTTCTTAATTCGCGATTAATTCCTTGAGGCTTTTTATTAAATATGTATGTAGAACAGTTTCTTACTCGATATTATTATCGCTTCTCAAAGAACGTATTTTATTCTGTCATAAAAAAAAAAATCATACACATTCAAAGGTATGCATTGACTGTTTGTAAATGAAGAATGTGTTAAAAAATTCAAAATAACGTCTTGTTTATTTATTAATTTTGTATCGTAGGTTTAAAATTAAGCATAATGTACCTATTACSTACTAATATTCTTCTTGGCTTATTTAAAAAATGTATCCATAAATATAAAAAAAAAAATGATGTATAATTTTACCATATAATGGGATTAGTTATTTATATTTATATTTAATAACTAATAAGTAATTACGTTATTTTTATGCGTGTTCCATGTATAGTTGGAAAAAATTAATATCAGTTAAAATTTGTAAAATATTACACATTTTTAGATAGAATAAGTTACAAGCTTACAACAATACCTACCTATGTTACATTTGTCTTTCATTAACTTCTTACTATAAAAGTGTTTCCATAATAATAATTTTTTCCTATTTAATAGATACTCCATATAATTAGATTTTACTTTTTACATTTTTTTATCATAAAAATACTCAATAATTCGTTCCTACCGTTTTAGTTTTTACAGATTAAAGAAGTTAAAGTTTGATTTGTATAAATAATAAATATTAAAATTTAACATATCAAGTTCATCTGTATTGTACAAATCGATGAAGTTGGCTAATACAACTTGTACTTTATTTTCTAAAATATACATGTATGTTCAAATTGATATCGCTTTATTCTAGCATTCTCGCGAGTTAACACATTTTTAAGATTTATAGTAGGTATAGTAAAATAGTTTATTTTTCCTTTTATAGGTTTAATTTTATCGTCAAAATTCATTTGAGTGTTTGTTTTTTCTCTACTGCAGTTGTGCACCTTATCAATGTTTGAGTGGGATAGATAAATAAACGAATAACGATTGAATATTCCAAATTGTCAACAAAAAATGTGGTTTTTTTCTATAAATTAGTTACCATGTTCATTTGAATTTATTATGTTGCAATTTATATAATTTATAGTAAAGAACATTTTTCTTAATCAATTGTCCAGAGAAAGTATAATAGTAATATAGCATGCTCGAGGAATAAATATTATCATAACTTCGAGTGTTTTTGAAATATACCTTTATTATATTTATATATTATTATCTTTATAATTATAATTTGTGTTGTGTATTGTGTTCACCGCTGAATTTTATGTCGCTCGAGATGAATATTGTAGGTATATACTATATAAGATAGCGGCGAGACGAAACCGAATTCCAGCTTTCTAATCCAATTCGATATGAA